AACTATACCAAGAAAAACAGTTGGCAAGAGGTTTGAGTCGCAGATAATGAAAAGGCAATGTACCCTTCCTCATTCCTGTTCATAGCCACTCACTCTCCCACCACTTCTTACAGTTGTTTATCTGCTCCACATCGAACACGTTCAGGGGGCTAAACAGACAGAAAGATTGCTTTGTAGGATCTGGGGTGGGGTTTTTTTTCACTTTTACTTTGGGACAAGCCATTAACTATCATTCTGAAAAAGTTCCAGTACAGAAAACGATTCAAACCACTAGCAAGAATTTTACAAGTCCACCAACAGCCAACTGAAATATAAACATACAATATATATCTCTCTCTCCTAGGATTTTGAACAAGTATAGAAGCATGCAGTGAATATCCTCCAAGTAAAAAGCATACTTTTTTTTCAATAGACAAAATATCAGAAATATCCTCAAAAACTTGTATATGATATCAAACTATTTCTTTCTTGCCCGTTTTTAGCTCCTGAGCTGATTATTCCTTTCCTTCTACTTGTTTCCAAAGTTGTCTTCTGATTTCCCTCCTACTTCTGGCTTTTTCAGTAGCAGACTTCCTGCCACTGTTTGTTATCTTCTACATGTCTGTTTATTAAAAGGTTATTGTCAAGATGTAGTGTATTAAAAACATAACACAAAGAAGGAGAGCACATGACGAAACAAACCTAGAAAGCATGTGCAAGGCTGGTCAGTGTGCATGTGTTTTTAGTCTTAAATTAGAACTATACTGTGCAAGTATGCTGATTAAAAATGTTACATCCTTTATCAACGTAGTTTCTGCAGGAAACACCCTAGTCTGTAACTATATATACACACGTTTGGGTTTTTTTTTCATTGGTATTGCTTGTTTCATCTGGAGAACTGAGGTACCAGGAAGTGGGCACCTGAAGTCCACCTCATGTACCTTCTTCATGTAGATAAGGCATTTTTCTGCCTTAGCTTTACAAATGTAAGTAGTTTATTGGCCTTATCCCATAAGGATACTTGTTTGTAGTGATAAGAGAGCCTATCAAAAGAGGAAATAAAGATCATTAGCCAAAGTGGAATACTGTGTACTTTAGAATGAAGAGTTGCAACATTTCAAATGAAGAGGATCAAATCAAATCCATTATAGTATGTAAAACTGTACACTGAGATGCATCAGAAGTTTCATACCAGACAAAATTTATTTCCTATAGTGAATGAAAGCTAACTGTAAGAAGACTCTTCCACAGTTTCTCTTGCAGCAATACTTAGCCTTCAAAGAGATATAAGTATTCTTCACACACACAAAAAAATAAAATACCAGCCTCCTCCTGACAAAGCCCAAAAGACTAGGCACTGCTTCATGTATTAGGGATGCTTATCAGATTTCACATACAGTAATCCATGTTGCAGAACACTTTGTCAGCACCAATTTATATTCTGAATGTACACAACATGAACATCGTCCCAGAAAATCTACAAGAATCTCCTATTAAATACACGTTTCCTCAAGCCATATAACATCACAAACTGAAACTTTTTTAAAAAAAACACAAAACCACAACAAAAAAACCAACAAACCAAACAAAGTCAAAAAAAAAAAAAACACAAAAGCCTAAGGTTATTCTAATGCAAAAGGCGGCAAAGTATTCCCATACACTTTTCATCACCAGCTACCAATTGCAATTCCCAATTGGAATTGAATTCTCAATTGCTAACCCAATTGCTGATCATCCACCAGTAAAATAACCTCTGTAACCATGGAGAAGTGAGCTTACACGTATAAGAGCAGCTCCTCCCCTGCTGAAAAAACCCACAGCAAAACCAGCATTTTGACTCCCCTACCTTTGCCCTCCTTCAGGGAGTAGAGCAAGAGATGCAAGGGCAGATGTTCTGTATTTTCTTCCTCAGTTCTTTTATATCTGCTTTTTGAATATACAATACTTCTTTGATCTCCCATAACATTTTTGCCATTCAAAACCTTCTGACAGATTTCTGGCCTACTTTCCAGAACCCTTGACACACCAAGGCAGATGGAAGGATGACAAGCTGGTTTTTTTGGTTGGTTTTTTTTTTTCCAGTTCCCTTTCTCATTGACTTACATGAACACCTTCATGCTTTTTTCATTAATAAACTGTTGAACAGTGATTGTACACTTCTGCTTGTCTGTATTTTATTTATGACTGGTAGGGAAAGCAGGAGCTCTCAGTGGCTCTCAGTGGAATGCAGCAGTTGTCCATTGCTTCTTCAGAGACAATGTCCAGAGTTGTATATGGTGGCAATTACAGATGTGAAGAGAGAAAAGAACAAAGCTTGAGAGTTTGGGGGAAGAAAAATGATGAGTTGATGATAGATACCATCTACTGACAAGTGACATGCTCTGTGCAGCTGTGAAAGAAGTGCAAAGAATTTAAAAACAGAACCTGTAACATTCAGGTCCCAAACTCCAACAACAATTAGTGCTTTATCAAGAATTTATACTGAGGATTCCATAGTAAAATGACTTATCTTATTCCAGGCCATTGCAATCTAAAGATAAGACAACCTAATTGTCCTGTTAACTTCATTGGTTTTCTGACACAGCACTGATATGACTGTGCAGCACTAATACTACTCTGTACGAGCGTGGCACATGTACAAAATAGCAAAAGCTTAATAACACAAAGGGCAAATACTTATTTGGAAGACTATCTCAAAAAGAAGGTTCAAATAAGCAACCTGTGTATTAGCACAATTTTATGGGGACTCAACCCTGTCACTGTTTTTTCCTGTATCTTGTTTCCCCAGCTTTCTACTTGATATAATCCACCACCAAAAGTCAATTAAAACAAAACTGTATTTCTATGTAATCTAGGTAATGCAGCAACCATCTGAACACAAACTATTTTCAAGGTTTAGTCCAATAGCGATTCAGATATTTAGTTATATATCTATGGTTAAGCAAATAAAACACAAGATGCACGTATCACTGCTTTACAATATCACCTGTACGTAAGCAAATAAAATACCTTCTAAAAAAAAAAAAAACCAGTGGCTCTTCTATTCAAACACCGTTATTTATATAAAATTGCTTTTTGACAAAGTCGCAAAGTTCAGAATGCAAGAGCTAGAGCATTCGTGCAAGTTCACTTAAACTACACTGAAGATAGACTTAGTCCTCGCTTTTCATTGATTCCAATGTCCTGAAAAAAAATTCCATGTGCTCTAAAGCTTGTACTCTTCCAGCTGCATCAGATGGTCTGATAATACATATTCCCTTTCTCTATAAACATTCACCAACGCACTGCGAAGCAGAGAATGCTAAGGTCATAGGTGTAGTTGACAGGGTTTATTTCTGGTGGGGCTAGCTCATACAGCAACTACTCAAAATCAGGACATTAGCATATCATAAACTGGAATGGGCATTATATAAGCAATAAAGCCTGATTTCCCTTTTCACTTCTGTAAAAAAAAAAAAAAGTAGTGTTTTTTTTTTTTTCCCGGGAGCAACAGTAACGCAAGGTTTCAAGGAGCAAAGAATCAAGATGCCAAAGTCACAGTCCCAGGCGCTGAAAATGAACTGGGTAACCCAGCGGGGCAGGAGAACATCACCCTGCAAAGCCCCGTGTAGGGAGGTGTTATGAAATCAGGACAGAGTACAGTAAAAACCCCTGAAAACGGGTCAGTGGACTCACGATAAGCTTTCTTCATTGACGCCGGGTGGGAGAAGGGGAAGGGGGAAGGGAAAGGGAGAGGACATGTATTAATATGTAACTCCGAACTCACCGATTTTGGCCAAGCTGGCCACAAGTATCCAGAGTGTAATGATATAAGGCTCCTTGACGTGTTCCCATTTGAAGGAGACGATGGCAAAGCTTTGGGTCTGGTTGCTATTTATAGGGCTTCCCGAGTTTCTCTGTCCCAGCGCCGCTGGGAGAGCCATCAGCCCCAGGAGGAGCCCCACTCCAGATACCTGCCTCATCTCCAAGCCACACAGCAAAAATCCTGC